AAAATTTGAAACTTCATCATTGCTATGCAAAGAGTCTGTCAAATATGTAAATAGAAATCTACATTATTGTTCAATCTTTGGCAAACCTAAAAAGGTTTCTGTGCCAAAGTTGTGGCGACTAATACTCAGAATTCTGGTAGAGATTCTCTGCAATTATTTCTGTATATATTGCGGGAACATATCCAGGAACCTGGTCCTTTCTAAATTTGTCTTCATTAAGTTAAGCATAGGTTAGTGGTCAAGTGAGTGTTTTTCTATGCAACCTTTTTACCCCTTAGCTCTTTCACAAAACATGCATAATTCTCTAGAAATGTTCCGTTAACTATATTGCACAGTAAAAGGATATTGGGGTGATTACTTGTCTTTTTTTTAGCTGTTGGGTTCCACTATTACTTTCATTTTCTTCTTGAATTCTTCCCCCATCTTCCTCTCCACCAGATATCTCTGTGATTACAGAGAATTACACAAAGTAGAATAGAACAGACTATTTAACTCAACTCATCTGTGCTGGAATTTAGGCTCCACGTGAGTCTACTTACTTTCCAGCCACCTCATCTCAGCCTTTCAGTATTTTACAGACATGTTAACTCTCCTCTTGACAGCATCTATCAGTTGTTATTGTTTCTTCCAAATCGCTAAAGTCTGCATGCGCAGCAACGCAGAAGCTCCCTGCCTGGACATCTCAATAATGAATAAAACAACACTGATTTACATATCAAAAACAACAATATCAACATGCAATTAGTGGCACTGGCAAACATTCACTGAAAAGTCTTTCCACAAAATATCTATTGTTTCAATATCAAATTAGCTCTATGTCACTGTTTATTACTGGTGTTTGTCTAGATTGCTGATGGAAACGTGCAAATAGTCAGCAATTGTTATAGTTGCTTCACTACTGTGTCTTTAATTTGTGGCCTGCTGTGAATGAGTTTGGTTCAATGCTCTGAAAGCTGGTTGTATGCTTGTTGAAGCAACCAGATTGAGCAAATTCATCTTGCAACAAGTGGCATCACACTAGCAGCGAGTTGCCACAACATTCGTGGACTGAAATTAAAAGCTGGAGAAAACATTTTTTGAGTATTAAAAGAAAGAGGATTGATGAAATGAGTTTTAATACTACTTGGATGAAGGATGTAAGAAAATTAAACAACAAAAGGGAAAAAGTCAACGTTCAAAACATGATTGGAAGTTAGAAGCATTAATCGTAATGGATATCATAGAAAGCACTGAGGAACACAAAATGTTATGACAAAGAGAGAAGCAAGATTTAAAGGGATAACAGGGAATATAAGAATGGTTTGCGGATAAAATAAAAATAAATCATAATGATATTTATAAGTGTGAAAGATAAATGATTCATCAAAGAGAACCTAGGATCAATCAAGAGTGAAGGAATCAGTCTAATTGGTGAATGTGATGTAGGGCAGAGTTAATAAGTATGTATTCTCTTTCTTTATGAGCGCTGATAGATGTGAGGATGTAGAAGTGCTTGAGTATGATATGGAATATTTCTAAGGGATAATTGTAGCAAACCAATTGATGATGTGCCGTTGTGCACCATGTGCTATTGATAGAAGTCAAAGAGGAAATGGCAGAGGTTTTGGCTACAATCTTTCAATCCTCCATAGATATGAAAATTATGAAATGAGACCAGAGAATTGCTGGAAAGAAAAGGTAAAATGGTATAACACTAACTCATTACGCTTAGAATCCGTTGGTGAAAGTAATTTACTGAAGGTTCAGAAAAGCATTTACTGATCAAGGGCTATCCAACGTAAGTTTGCAAAAGTCAAAATGTATTTGGAAAACTTATTAGCATTTCTTTGAATAACTGAATGGGAAGAAAGAGCCTTTCACAACCTCAGCAAATCCTAATACATTTCATGGTCAATAATATATTTTTACAGTATAGTCACTACTTTAATGTAGGGAAATGTGGTAACCCTCTGTAATGGAAAAAGACTTGACTGACCTATTTGGTATGATTGCAAGATTATTTTTCTTTCTTTTCAAAGGTAAGCCAGAAATGCAGGAAAGAGATCTGCACATAAATGTGTAGAATACGACTGTCAATAAAATCAGTGCATCATCTTTATCAAGATACTTTTTGAAATGTAATTATTCACTGCCTGACTGAGGTAGTACTCAATAAACAGCAGCTTGAGAAAGTTGCTGCAATCTTAAAGTAATGTGAAACTTACCAGCAGCCCAGAAACATGGGTTCTCATTTGATCTGAAGTTCTAAATATGTACAATAATTGTTAAACGAACAATATTGGAAAATATGTTTTACTCCAGCACCTGACAGGCCAAAAAGAGAATCACTTTCAAACCTGTAAATATCTTAAAGTTAGCCAATTCAATAACAATCATAATTTGCACTGATGTTGCATCTTTAACTGTATAGAATGTGCTGAGGCACTTCTCAGGAATATTCAGGTGATTTTTGATACCTGGGACATAACAGACATTTGGACAGATATCAAATAGGTGTAGATTTTAAGTAACATTTTAAAATAGAAGAGTGACACAGGGAGGAAGAAAGGTTCAAGGAGGGATTTCAAGCTTACAGCCTAGACTGCTGAAGGCACAGACATCAACGTTAAAGTGATTAAAATGAGGGATGTGCAAAAAGCCAGAGCTGGAGGAGTACAGAGATGTTGGAGGGATATAAGACTGAGGGAGGTTACAGCAATAGAGAAGGTTGAAGCCACAGAAAGACTTGAAAACAAGGAAGCTTTTTACATCCAGGTATTACAGACTACCTCAGACAGTAAGCAAACAATTATACTTCAAAAAGTATCTTAATGAGGATGATGCACTGATTTTATTGATAAGTTGTATTTTACATGCTTATATTGATGTATATACAGACCTCTTTCCAGTATTTCTGAACTTGAGATAGCAACTGTAAAGAGAGACCCATGAAAATGGGCTGGGGAGTTTATATGGAGGCAGAGAGAAGTGAGTATAGGAAGATAGTGAACAGAGAGGAGACAGCTTAATGGGTTGAGATGGAGGTTGAAATCAGTGCAGAGGGTGAAGGGAAAGTAGTGATGATGTGTCAGAAAGAAATTTCACATGGTACTTGGTAGGCAGTGAAGAATAAGAACTCCAAATGAGAGTCAAAAGCGGGGAACAAGAGAAGAATCTGAACCATCCTTGCACAAGTAAAAATCCCAGGCAACAGTTTTTCATAGAAATGTTAAGAAACTCGTTCTGTAAGTTAAATTTAGAAGAAAGGATCATATTTCTATTTTGTTGGTGATCCCTCCTGCATGGAGTGTTGAAAGTATTCAGGTGTGCCCTATAGTAACCAAAATATTATGTCATATTCTACACTGTGCTGACCATGCAAGAAATGTCCAATTCTGATTAAAGTTGCAAGTGGAATGCAAGTATCCTTAACTTTGGCACTAGCTTGATGGATGAATGCAAGCTTACAATGTAAGTCAGGCTGAAGAATACTGATGTTCTCAGTTTGTTATTTTTTCTCTCTGGTCTATGTTGTAAGGCCAGACCATATCCCATAGAGCGCCATTAGCAATGAAAGGTATAAGAGAGTTGGATTTGTTGAAGGCCTCTCTTGTGACACAGTGGTAGTATCCGTACCTCCTGGGCCCAGAGAATCTGGGTTCAAGTCTCACCTACTCTGGAAGTGTATAATACTTCTCTAAACATGTTGATTTTTTTTCAAAACAACTGATACTTAGTTAATGTTGAGTTTGGCTTTGCAAGTGCATGTAACCTCATGTTTTGATCAATTGTCTGCGCTCATTTGTTGTGACACGCTAGATGATTTCAGCGTATCATTTTTCAAAATTATCAATAATTAAAGATTTCTAGTATTACAGACACAATCCTGGAATCACTACAGTGCAGATAGAGGCCAGTTGGCTCATCACGTCTGCATCGACCATCCGAACAGCATCCCACCCTTTCCCTCTAATCCCACATTTACCATGGCTCATCCACCTAACATGCACATCTCTGCACACGACAGAGCTATATAGTATGGCCAGTCCACCTAACCTACACATCTTTTGGACTATGGGAGGAAATCTGAGCACCTGGGAAAAGTCATGCAGACACGGGGACAACGTGCAGACTCCACACAAGTCACCAAGGCTTGAATTGAACTCGGGTCCCTGGTGCTGTAAGGCTTTATTATAGATATTGTGATATACTTGAAGAAGATTTCCCATACTGTTCAGCACAACTACAGTGATTGCATCACAAATATAATTCACATCAATAACAGAGCACACTCCCTATCAGTACCGCTACTGACAGATGATGCAGAGACAAAAACTCAGCAAAAACAGAACCTGATAGTTCCTTACAGACTTCACAGTGCATGTCATCCACATATTTTGAGTTCATCACACTTCAAAAGTGTCACTCTTTGATACTTAAGTAAAGAATCTTTACAAAAAGAATTTAAAGGAAAGCCAGCTATCTTCTTGCACTGCCCATCCATGGGCTACAGCCACTGTTTAACTGACCTCAGATGTGTGTAAGAGAAGCCTGCCTGAAATTCACTGTCTCTATTTGCAGCATTTAGGCTTCATAGCCTTAAAGGAGGAAGTCAACTTACAGTTAGAGCACTTTATCGTGGAAGAATATATTTTGGGCTGTCATTTTAAAACACAGTATTACCTTGGTTGTCTGAAAATTGTTTCAAAATAATAGATTAAGCTGTAATAATTTCAAGGTTTCTCCAAATGTCTAGATAATGGTGACAAACGGTACAATAAGTAATAAATATGCTTAATTCTTTCCTACCCATAAGGTCATGTATAACCCCAGCTAGCCCAATATATACTGTACCATTTTTTATTTGCTTGGGCAATGAATTTAACTCTGCACATGATGTAAATATGATCATTCCACTAACGTCCTTTTTAAAGTACATTTTGTTCTGGTGACACTGTGTTTGCGTCATCGAAAGGACACCTGTGTTTAAGTAAATAATGAGGAGGTAAATGGTTACTTACGTGAGAACGTAGTTGACACTAACGATGCAGTGGGGCCTAGATGACCTGCTATTGTGGACTATTGTTGCATAGCTCTGAACCCACACCCAACCTCCGTGCTTTGCAAGGAAGCGGTAATATTTTGTTGTTACCTGTCCTTTGACAAGCACTGTGTACAGAAAAGAAAAATAATCACTATTTTACCCTGATAATTATTCCTTATTCACTCTTTATAAAAATAAGAAGCTTGCATTGCCAGAACACAATGCACCTCCTGTTCTGGCACTAAAACTTTGCTCTGTAGATTGAAAGCGTGGCCTGTAATAGATTTATAACTCTTCCAAGTTATGCTCTTGAACAATCAAGATCATATTTTTATTTATGAAGCAAAGTACTTTGGCATTTTGGCCAGACAACTCAGGCCCAATGTGTTCATTCTGCCCTGAGGTGGATTTGCTTTTTGCTTCCCAAAGGACTAACCAATTTTGGCAGTCAACATTGCCAGCACATTAACAGAACATAATTTTGCCTTTGCAAAATGCAAAATTACTATAACTTTAGATGTCCAATTGCTTTTTAAAAGAAAGAGAGGTGGATTGAAGTCTCACAGCTATGAGAAAACAAGGCAATCCTTGTATTGTTCACCTATAAATCAGTAATGAATTAATCTTCTCATACATGCAAAAATACTTACACAAGTGATGAGCACAGCGCAAGTGAAACGTATCACATCCATGGACATGATGATAAAGAGTTTTTTCTATTAAATCCTGAGGTTCATAGCCTGTCAGTTCAGCTACCCTGTATGAGGTAAACAGAAGTCATGAATAAGTAGACCTAATTCAACATGCAAAATCAAGACACACTGCAGTAATTTAGGAAGGCACCTCACCATCATCTTCTCAAGAGTAATTAAGGATGGGCAACAAATGCCACTTGCAGTGATGCTCACATCCCATGAAACAATAAAACTAATGCTAAATGCTATCACTTCGTATACTTTATCATACCACTTGACAAAATTAATTCCAACAACAATGAAAGGTAAACTGTAAAGGAAAGTAGATAAATGAAGATAAGGTGTCCTCCACCTTGAATGCCTCAGTTTGAGCATTATCCTTTGCAATTTAACTTTTAATGATTGGATGCACTGTCGATCCAGTCAGCAACAGATATTGATATACCACACAAAGTCATTTCTAATTCAAACTACTGACAGACCTAATTAATCAATCTACACAATACAAATATCAGCTGATGCCAAGAAGGATATTTTCTTCAGAATGGAGTTCGAGGCTGCTGTACGTACCTAAAGTTCTTTAGTGATCTGCACTAATGCTAGCTATTGTTAGACGTGTATACCTTGCAATTCACAAGCATTCAGAACAAAGGCTAATTTTCAAATTGTTATACAGCTACTTCACTGTAGAGCATTTTACTTAACTAATAGAGAGCTATACACTTTATTACCCAATCACTGAAGTAAAACAAACAAATTTGCACTTGAAATATATAAATCTGAGTGAAAATTAATTGTTTACCTTCATTGAAATGAAAAGATTACTTGGTAATATCATGCTCTTACCTGGAGTCAAGAAATATCAGTTTCATGTCAAGGCTAGCTCGAAACATGAACATATTGCTGTGCAGTTTGATTTCTGTCACAGCACTTGGGGGCAATGAATGGCCAACTGCCACCAATCCAACATTCTGGTAGCAACCATCAAAAGGAGACATGTCTAGGCTGTACTGACGAATCTTTAGATAGCCACTGCAGTGGATAACCTGCAAGAGACAAATGCAGAGATAGGAGGAACTACAGATGCTGGAGAATCTGAGATAACAAGGTGTAGAGCTGGATGAACACAGCAGGCCAAGCAGCATCAGAAGAGCAGGAAGGCTGACGTTTTAGGCCAAGACCCTTCTTCAGAAATGGAGGAGGGGAAGGGGGTTCTGAAATAAATAGGGAGAGGCAGGAGGCGGATAGAAGATGGATAGAGGAGAAGATAGGTGGAGAGGAGACAGACAGGTCAAAGAGGCGGGGATGGAGCCAGGAAAGGTGAGTGTAGGTGGGGAGGTAAGGAGGAGATAGGTCAGTCCAGGGAGGAT